AAAAAAAAAAAAAAAAAAAAAAAAAAAAAGCTCTCCTCTTGCCCCAAGAGGAAGTGAATCGCAGCTATTTCCTCTGGTAAGGACTGCCTGGACCCAGGTGCTCAGACTCACACACTGGCAGAGCTCGCAGATAAGGAATGCCCCCAGGGTGGCCTCTTCATGGTTGTCCTGAATGTCCACATTGACCACATGCACTGGCTGGCAGGTCTCCTGTTCTCTGGAATTCAGATCTGATTGGAAAAAGAGGCACAAGTATTATTAGACACCGGGTAAGAATGCAAGTCCAGCTCTCACCACACCTGCCCCTGAACTCTGTGGACTGTAACTCAAGGACTGAGCATCCAAGTCCAAGGAACTAACATGAGGAACAGTCCCACAACAGGCTAAGTGAAGAAACCTAGGTAAACAGTATACTCAACTCAAGGCCATACTATGCCAGCCAGTGCTGTCGTCAACACAGCACTTTCTATAAAATGCTGGCCATTTCCATAAAATGAAAGCAAACACTGAAGGCCACAAGGCTTACAGAGACATACAGGTAGTTTTGCTGGACATCAGTCCTTGGCTTACTCCTCCAGGCCATTCTCCAGATGTCCACACAGGTTAAAGGATGAGAGGGGGTGCCCTGGGTGTCTATCACTGTTGCCCAGGGCCTGATGCCTAACCTGCCTTCCCTTATCTCTGACACCATAAATCTTCCAGCCTCGTGTTGAATGGCAGACCAGGCTCTGTGAACTCACCTTCTATAACCTGGTCATAGACTCGCTCTTCACAAGTGAGGATCAGGTCAAACAGGTCCTTGCAGTTCTGGAACCTTTCTGGCCGGGGCTTGATCCTTTTATTTCTGTCCAACATATGTAAAATTCCATTCTGTGTATAGCTGAACACCAGAGTCAAGGAGCTTTGGATAAATAAGTAATTGTTCACTAACCTAGTCCTGCCTGTAAATAAATGGTCTTCCTGCCTATCAGGGTTCCAAGTTGGTCCTTGTCAACAGAGGCATCACAGCTCTAGGCCTTAGCATAGGCTTGGTCACCACTGCCCCACAATAGGAAGGTGCTGACTTCTTGGGAGTGTCATGATTTCTATGATACCCAAACCTGCCAAGTGGCTCCAGATAGCCTTGGCCATTCTGTTTTTGTTTTGTTTTTTGAGACAGGGTTTATCTGTGTAGCTTTGCGCCTTTCCTGGAACTCACTCTTGTAGACCAGGCTGGCCTCAAACTCACAGAGATCCTCCTGCCTCTGCCTCCTGAATGCTGGAATTAAAGGCGTGCGCCACCACCGCCCGGCATCTTGGCCATTCTGACTAGACAGAAAGCAGAAGCATAGCACTGGCCTCCCTCTCAGGACTGTGGCCTTTTCCTCTCATACTGACCACAGCTCTGACCTGTGCTTTCAACACTAGTTAAGGTATCTCTTATCTGTGCCTGTTTGTTTTACTGTCTCATCCAAGTTTCCTCTCAAATTGGAGTCCTACTACAAAGACAGTGCTTCCAGGAAACCAAGCCTCAATCCAGCTAAGCTACAGCAGGAAGAAAATCTGGAAAAATCCACTGAATCTCTTCCCACCCACCCACCCCACCCCCAAGAGACAGGGTTTCTCTGTATAGTCCTGGCACTTTTTGCTTTTAGACCAGGCTGGCCTCGAACTCAGAGATCCACCAGTCGGAGATCCTCCTGAGTG